GCAGGAAAAAGAACAAAAGTCACCTTTTCAAATGGAAACTGGGATTTAAAAACTCGTTTTGGGAGCTGTTCAAATTTCCTCTCTAGGTCTCTGACACTATAATCTCCAGCACTACCAAGTATGTGATTCCTAAGAACAGGTAGTGTCACACAACAATTTGGGAAGCAGAGGCTAAGAATAAATTCTAAAGCTGCGGTGGTGAGGGAGTACCATAACAGCGATGGGAAAGGAGAGAATTCCTCCAGTTCACCCCACCTCCTTCATGTATCATGAGGCGAAATGACACTTCTTTGTATCCCTGCTTCTGCTCTTTAATATATATTTTAAATGAGACATTAAAAAAATTACTCTTCAGTACTACCTGGAGAAATGCAAGAACAACTAGGAGTAAAACAATCTGTCCATGAAGGAGGAAATCAAGTGAGTCTGACAATTGCTGTGCTAATGGCAGAACAACTTTAATTTGATACCTAGTAGGCGTGTCTAAACTAGGGATGTTAAGCAGTGATTAATTTGCTAGTCCAGGAGTTGATGGAATTTCCATTGACTACTTGACTAGTGGTTAAGAAAAGCAGTTACAGTGCTCACTTCCTGTTCTGCACTCTTAAAGGGACAGAGAAGAGCCGGTATGCAAAAATGCTGGCTCAATCTCTAGTTCCCTGCTGGGTCTCAGGGCAACCCGCCTGCTGCCACTCTGCATTCTGAAAGGCACAGAGCTGCAGCAGCCAGTTCCAAGGGTCTCTTTCAGAACAAGCCACCCCCATTCTACTCAGCATGTTTAAAGGGACAGAGCAGCAGCAGCTCCTTAAGCTGCTTCTGCTCGGTTTCAGAATGCAGATGGGCGAGGGCTTGTCCTGAGATCCAGCGGGGGACCAGTGATTGAGCCAGCATCTTTGTGTGCTGGCTCTTTCTGTCCCTTTAAAAGTGCAGAGCAGCCAGGGGAGGGGGTGTGATATCCAGTAGTCAATCTAAGCTCCTGCTTATCTGGTAGTTGACTACTGGTTCACATCCCTAGTCTGAACTAGGTCAACTTAAGGAGCAATGTGCTTGCTAACCCCTGCCACTTTACCAAGGTTATGTTGTTACTGCTAAAATAGTTTAGCTATTTTATTTAAATGCTAACTCAAGTTTGATAATTCTATGGAAGATCCTAGTAGAGACAAGGACCAGGTAGATTTTTATCTCAATAGCCAGTCATGGTCACTCTATCTGGGACTGACTGATGGACATTCCAGGCAGGAGGAGCTCACACTCCCATCAAGAAACTGACAGAAAGGAAAATGGGCTTAATCCCAAAGAAGGGTGAGCAGCAAAGTAAGCAACACACCTGGAAGAGCTGATGGACCACAGTGACAGAGCTTTAAAGATCACTGTGGGAAAATAGCATTTGTATTAAAAACCAAACAAATCTTTACTCTCCCCAGTGGATCCTCTGATGTGTGATAAGGTGTGAGTTCTGATTGAAGCTTCTCCCACATGCTGAGCATTTAAAGGGCCTGTCTCCCGTGTGGATTGTTTCATGTCTAATAAGGTCTGAGCTCCGAGTGAAGCTTTTCCCACACTCTGAGCATCTATAGGGTCTGTCCCCCATGTGGGTTCTCTGATGCTGAGTAAGGTTTGAACTGTCTGTGAAACTTTTCCCACAGTCAGCACATTTAAAAGGTCTACTTCCTGTGTGGATTCTAAAATGTGTAATAAGGTTTGAGTTCCGATTGAAGCTTTTCCCGCACTCAGAACATGTAAAGGGTCTGTTTCCTGTGTGGATTGTCTGATGAGCAATAAGATTTGAGCTTACGCTGAAGGTTTTCCCACACTCAAAGCATTTAAAGGGTCTTTGGCCTGTGTGGAGTCTCTGATGTCTGCTAAGGTGTGAGTTCCGAGCGAAGCTTTTCCCGCAGTCGCAGCATTTATAGGGTGTCTCCCCTATGTGGAGTCTCTGATGTGCAATAAGGGCCGAGCAGCTACTGAAAGTTTTCCCATACTCAGTGGAGGTGTTTTTTCTCTCTCTTGTGGGGATTCTCTGTTGGGTTGTGGTTTTCTTGAGGCCTTTGCCCCTTCCCTGACAATCCCTTGCCTGATTTCCCCACTGTTTTTCTGGCCAGTGCTGGCTCTCGTGACATTTTCTTTGCTCATAGCTGCAGTGAATATTCCCTTTACATCTCTCTGAAAGCATCCCAGGTGGTTCCATGTGCTGAACATCTCCCTGCTGAGGACTCTCCTCCTGGTTTTTACTCACTGTCCCGTCACCTGCTGTGACAAAGAGAGAATCCAGTCATGAGTCATGCCCTCCTCTAGAGAGAAAGAAAATGTTAAAGGGAGGGACTGGAAAAGAGGGATATCAAACCAAAATAGTTGCTGGTGATATGGAAAAAATCAGGTGCCGATTCCCCAAAAACTTTCCCCAGAGGAGAGAGGACAGGATCAATTCTGCCTCCACATCTCATGCAAACACCCCAAGTGAAGTGTCATCACCAAGGGAGGAAACTCTGCTAGGTGTGAGGACAGGTGGGAAGCTGTAACCCTCTTCATGAGGATGCCTCTCATGCTGCATTTCAAGGGCTCTGTAGGGAATCCTAACTCTCTTCTTCAGACACCAAGGAGTATTGAGTTAATTTAAACTCCTTTCCATCTGTGTAGTAGTCTCCCACGATCTTTTTGCTCTCAGCCTGCGAGCGCGCACACATAGTATTCCCCCTTGTTTCAGCTGGGAGAGCACAATAGAGTTGGAAACTGAAAAGCCTACTCAACAGATGAAAACAAGCAAGAGCAGTTGAATTTGTGGGACATTTACAAATAATCTAATTTGACATCTCTGCTGGGAACAAACACAGCCAGCAACAGAGAAGATCCTGAAATACAGGGAACACATGTCTCTGTTCCAGAAGAGGGTGCTTCAGCCATAGTGGTGAAGCCATCCTGGATCCAGTTCTCATTGACTGTGAGGGGGCTCAGTGACAATGAGTGCCCTACAGAAGCTCAGACCAGTGAGTATGAGCTAGAGGGGTTTCGGCACTCTAAGGCTATGTCTAGACTGCAATCTTCTTTTGGAAGAAACTCTTCTGGAAGAGAGCTTCCAAAAAACTTCTTCCGAAAGAAAGCATCCACACTGCCAAAGTGCATCGAACAAGCGATCTGCTTTTTTGAAAGATAGCATCCAGACCAAATGGATGCTATCTCACATATAAACTGTGATTACTATGGGCGGAATGGCCACCAGGGCACCTATGCTTTTTCCACTTTCCTCTTCTTGGAAAAGAATACCCTCTTCCCCGTCCACACACGCCTTTTTCCAAAAGAGCTCTTTTGGAAAAAGTCTTCTTTCTCAGAAGGAGGTTTACCAATGTCAGAAAAACCCCTCTGTTCTTTCAATTTTATTTCGAAAACATGATTGCAGTGTGGACGTAATTGAAGGTTTTTTTTGGAAAAATGGCTGTTTTTCTGGGGGGGGGGGGGACACCTGTAGACATACCCTAAGAGATGAAAGGGAGAAGGGGGTGTCAATGAATGCAGCAGTTAAGAGGTAACAGCTATCAGGCAATCTAGTAGTCGGGTGCAGCGGGAAGGAGTATTATAATGCCCCAGTGTGTGGAACATGGCTGGGAAACTAGAGACTATAATTCAGGAGCAAGCGACTCTGTTTCCTCTGCAAAAGGAGACAGACAAGAATCAGGCTATGTGGTCTCAGGAGGGACTGTCTCAAAGATTCAAGGAGCCTGCAGAGAAGACAGACTGGTTGTTGCAGACAGAAAGGGAGGGAGTGAGATTTTCTGAGTCCCCAGAAGCCTTTAACTACATTGTGGCATAATCAATGAAATGTCCATTTGTCCTGGAGCAGAAAGTGCAAAAGGAAGAAAGTAGGACTTGCAATCAGTGGCTATAGTCTCAGTGAGTAGGGAAGGATTTTCACAGGGGAAAGAGCGTGTTGGAGAGAAGACAAGGGATACGAATATCTAAAGAAGCTATGTAAAAGAAAGTGAATTAAAGAAAATTGAGTATAGGTTCCAAAGCAATGGGGCATGGGAGAGATTCTGTTAATGAAGTGAGAGCCTCAAAAAAATCTCCCCTTTGTAGTCCAGGGAGCCCTTAGCATCATCTGGAAAGGCCACATCTAACTGCCTCAGAATGACATTGTGTCTGCCAATATACTCCTGTCATTATCAGTATCTAAAAGGTATCAAGTAAGAAAAATTATCTACATAGATCATAAATAAAGCCCTCAAGCCGGGGGGGGGGGGGAGGAGAAAAGAGGAGACCACTTAGCACTCATCATAGGGAATGGAGCCTGCACCCCAGGAACCCTTCTGGCTCTTGACATAGAGACAACAGACTGTCCAATACAAGCAGACAGAAGGCTATTTGGCTTCCATGAATAAAGGGGGAGCAACACCCTTTGAACTCATGTCAAGTGAACCTTTTTGGCCTAAAAACCAAGAGTAGCTGGAACTGATTATAGCTGAGAAACCTGATTAGCCAAAGACTGTAACTATCTTCACTAAAAAGTGTATTGTTTCTCCTGTAACTGTACCTGTGTTCTAGTCTATCTTACTATCATTTAAATCTCTGGTCTTTGTTAATAAACATTGTTTTATTACAAAAACTATCCCTGCTGTGTATTAAACATCAGCTAAACTCCCAGGCTGGTGTGGACTCTCTCTTTGGTGGCAGCAAACTTAACATCAGTGAGCAGCCAAGGAGTAGAACTGGACATTGCAAGACAGACAGTTTTGAAAAGCTGTTGGTGCTCCCCTGCCAGAAGTAGGTTGTCAGCTGTGAGCAGGCAGCTGATGGAAAGGTTCACATCCAAAGCTTTTCACCACAGAAGCACCCAGGGTTCCAGGGCAGGCACAGACAGAAGTTGTACTGGTCTGGATGACTCCCACCAAAGCATCACACTGGTGTAAAATAACAGGATTTTCACACAGCCTGCTACTCAACTGAGATTTACAATCCAAAAATTGCTAAACTAGATTTTTAAGGGATTTTGAGTGAGAAGACTTGAGAACAGGAAAATAAGATTAGTGTTCTGTTTATTTCAGTAGACCAAAACAAGGGATTTTAAAGTGTACTACTGGGGAAGTGGGATTCTGTGCCCCTATGGGTCACAATTTATACGGCCCAAATTTTTTCCTGTGCTTCCCATATAGGGGAAAAAAAAAACGGCTAAGGAGCACGAGCCTCTTCCTGGGAAGCCCAGGCACTGCACATCTGTTCCTGCTTGCTGGAGTAACTTCAGAGATAGGGATGGGAGAGGGGCTAGCATATTCTATGGCTACGTCTAGACTGGTATGATTTTCCGCAAATGCTTTTAGTGGAAAACTTTTCCGTTAAAGCATTTGCAGAAAAGTGTCTAAATTGGCACGGACGCTTTTCCGCAAAAGCACTTTTTGCAGAAAAGCGTCCGTGCCAATCTAGACGCGCTTTTGCGCAAAACAAATCTGAGCTGTCTACACTGGCCCTCAGACTAATCCATTTCCTGGTTTATAAAAATGGGGGGGAGGGTGAACCTAAATTGATAAGCAACTGAATCCTCTGTACACAGTATTACTGTATTATAAACATGTAGGCTGCGTCTAGACTGGCAAGTTTTTCTGCAAAAGCAGCTGCTTTTGTGGAAAAACTTGCCAGCTGTCTACACTGGGTGCTTGAATTTCCGCAAGAACACTGATGATCTCGTGTAAGATTGTCAGTGTTCTTGCAGAAATGCTATGCTGCTCCTGTTTGAACAAAAGCCCTCTTGTGCAAATGCTTTTGCAGAAGAGGGCCAATGCAGACAACGCGGTATTGTTTTGCACAAAAAAGCCCTGATGGTGAAGATGGCGATTGGGGCTTTCTTGTGCAAAACCGCGTCTAGATTGGCACGGATGCTTTTCCGCAAATGGCACGGACGCTTTTCCGCAAAAGCACTTTTTGCGGAAAAGTGTCCGTGCCAATCCAGATGCTCTTTTCCGTTAAACGCATTTGCGGAAAACTTTACTGTTAAAACATTTGCGGAAAATCATGCCAGTCTAGACATATGTCTACGCTGCTCCCGTTTTGCACAAAAAATATGCATTTGAGGCGAAGTGTGGAATATCACTGTGCCTCATTTTCATAATTAATAAGATTCCATTTTTGTGGAAAAGCCTCTTGTGCAAAAATGGATCCTCATTAATTATGCTTTGCCTCATTTGCATATTTGATGTGCAAAACGGGGGCAGTGTAAACATAGCCGTAGAGTGACAGCTAATGATACCAGTGATTAATATCTTTTTGAAATGTATGTATTAACACGTTGTGAAAAAAATGATACTAAATAATATGTTTTAAAGTCTGTGGCCAAATATGGAAAAGCAGATTCCCTCCCAAGAAAGAGCAGGTAGTTAATCTACTTGTTTTTTCTGTAAATTAAGCATGGTAGAACCAAAATGCACTGTTTATATACAAGGGAATAGAATGGCCACAGGATGAGCATGAGAACACCCTGCCTCTTAAACTCTATGGCTACGTCTACACTGGCCCCTTTTCCGGAAGGGGCATGTAAATTTCAGCAGTCGTCGTAGGGAAATCCGCGGGGGATTTAAATATCCCCCGCGGCATTTAAATAAAAATGTCCGCCGCTTTTTTCCGGCTTTTAAAAAAGCCGGAAAAGAGCGTCTAGACTGGCCCCGATCCTCCGGAAAAAGTGCCCTTTTCCGGAGGCTCTTATTCCTACTTTGAGAGAGGCTGAGGGAGTTGGGTCTGTTTAGTCTGGAGAAGCGAAGGATCGGGGCCAATCTAGACGCTCTTTTCCGGCTTTTTTAAAAGCCGGAAAAAAGCGGCGGACATTTTTATTTAAATGCCGCGGGGGATATTTAAATCCCCCGCGGATTTCCCTACGACGACTGCTGAAATTTACATGCCCCTTCCGGAAAAGGGGCCAGTGTAGACGTAGCCTATCAGAGTTTGGTCTGTGTGGGCTGGCTATGATAAAATGCTTGTGAATGCTCTTTTGATACGGGGGCTTTAGTGTTAGTGATACGCCCTATAAAAAAAAACACACAAAGCTCATGGCAAGGACCCTATGAAGTTGAGTAACAAGAGAATAACCCCAAAGTAATGCTGCCCCACACTATGCATTATCACGTGTTAATAGTTTTAACGGCTGTTACAATAGAGAAGTAACTGATAATACTGTGTGTTGTGAGAAAGGAGGGGTCTTAGGCATCCCGACTGCCAGAGTGACGCATCACTTGGCAGGACTGAGAGTATACCTAGCGTTAACACACCTCACAAAGCAGACATCAGAGCTGCAAGTGTTCTCCGATATGCTAGGGCAGCGGTTCTCAAACTTTTGGGGCTCCGGAGCCCTTTACGTGCGTAAAAATTTATGAGGAGCCCTAGTGGTCCACTGATTGTATGTGTTGTACCTATCGATGTTTCCAATTTGTCAACCTTGCGGAGCCCCGGGAGATGTCTTGCGGAGCCCTGAGGCTCCACGAAGCACAGTTTGAGAAACACTGTGCTAGGGGATGACATACAATCGTCCCATAAGACTGATGTGGGATCCCAGGCTGCCACTAGTAGGACATTCAGAACCACAGCACAAATTTGTAAAGAAACAATGTGCCGGAAAAAGAAATTCAAGTGCCTGGCACCTAGTGGGGTTTGAGCAGATAGTATAGTTGTTCCTCTATAGTATTTTTGCTGCAGTTGTGATAAATAAATATCTGAAATAGGCAGATCTTCCTTTTACTGAATACTCAATGTCAGTGAATGTAATGAGTGATACTAACTAAGCAGTATTTATTATAACTACATTGACTTATTTTGTTTAGGAGTATCTACCCTCAACATATAGGATTCTGAAAACTATCCATGTTCAGGATCACCAGCATTTTCTATAATTTCAGAATTATTTGCAAATGATAGTGTTTTGGTCACATCCAGTATGTTACACAGACACAGTAAAAAAACTGACAACAACCAGTAACTGAAGAAAAAATTGCCCAGTTTGTTTATGCAACAAAATTCTCCTTTCCAATGTTGAAAACCCACATTTCATTATCATGGATCAGTCATTAAGACCAGGACACAGTTCACCCAAGAGAGCAGATGCTGCAGGCAAATTGCTGGATAAAGTGTATGAAAGAGAAATTGAAAAGGGTGCAAAAAGTCAACAGGGTAAAAGTGTTAACCTAAGTCTTGATGGGTGGGGCAGTGTTCACAATGATCCTGTTGTATGTGTTTGTATGACAACAAACAAAGAATGTCTTCCTTACAGAAACAATTGATACTTCTCAGTTGGGGGCCTAATCGATGAGGTTTTTTTTCCTCCTTACATGAGCCAGATCAAGTGCTCACTTGTGTACGGCCCCTGACTGATTTTTCTCTGTATCTGTGGCCCTTGACCAAAAAAGGTTCCCCACTCCTATTATCACAAAGTCATAGTTTTGTCCCTTACCTCAAATAAGTGAAAAGTGAGAGAAACACGCATTTCCACTATCGAAGTCCCCTTTTCTTTTAGAATGAGCCCATACACAACACTGCATTCTTTTCCCATTCATAGGCAGTCTGAACACCAAGCCTGGGCAAAATTTGGCCCAGGGATTGGATCCGGCCCGCCACACCACTGGATCTGGCCTATGGAGACAGTGGGGAGTCCCAGGCAGGCTCTCCTGCTTGCCCCGCAGCCCTGCGCGCCATGCAGAAACGCAGCTGTAGAGCTCTTTCTGTTTTAAAACTGGAGGGGAGAAGTTTCAGGAGCCGCCCTGCCCCCAGCACAATCCCATTGGCTGGTTTCTGGCTAGAAACCAGCGAATAGGAGCTGCTTGTTTGAATAATAGGCAGCCGAGAAGAACCATACCCCCCCACCTCAGCTCCGTTATTCAACTAAGGAAAGCAGTCAGGCTGGCTGGCTGGGAAATGTTTTAACTCTGCAAAAGCCTTAGGTCTGCAGGCTGGCAGGCTAGTTTGGCACTCTTGGCCACTGCCTGCCTCTGGCACTTCAGCCCTTTCCTGCACCAACCGTTACTCAACATACCCAAACCCTCTGTCCCGCCCTTACACCAATACCCCCCTCCCAGATCTGGCATCCCAGTCTCTTGCCCCAGATCACAATAACCTCCTAGTCCTAGGGCAGGGGACTAGAGTCCCCAAACCCCTGCACTCTAGTCCCCTGCCCTAGGTCACAACAGGCTCCTTCACCCAAACTCCCTCCCAGACTCTCAGTCTCACTGCTGCACCCAAGCGTCATCTCAGACCCCACATCTCCTCCATTAATATGGCAGTGGAGTGGCCTCCCATAAAAAATGATTGCATGATACATAATACAGCAGCCCCATCTCCCCATCGGAAACAGTTTTACAGGGGATAGCTTGGTTCCACTCCCTAGCTCCCAAAACACTGCTACTGCCCTGTAGCCATTTTTAATTGCTCATTAAAGCTTCATGCTGCACCAGGTACCAATGTTTCCCTCTTCTCTCCACTTCACACCATTCAGGTTCTTGTTCCTTTTCTCTGTCAGATCAGGATTCACTCTGATCTCCACCAGGCATCATAGCAGGAGGCAACTGGGTAGTCACTGGTCCACCTCTCTCAGGTTTATCTCAGGGTGGAGGCACCGATCACCGGCCACTAACA